TTGAGGTTCCCCAAAAGCATGATATTTGAACTAGCAAGCTGGTAACAATGCACAGCCCACTAGAGTATGGTCTTGTCCACCAACTGATAGCTGGAAAAAATAAAGAGCTACTAATTCAACCATGCTGCCCGTGACTGTTTACTGCAGCATTATCCATGGCTGACTCTAGCTGTGGGTGTGGACTCTCACACGGAAACAACATCAAGGGAATCAGTGTGTTATTGAGTGTGTGCTGAAAAATACCCACATAAGTCTGCCTGGAGACAGAGTTGCATTTGTTTGCATGTAGTTGTGTATATGTGAGGGTCTCTCCACTCCCAGAGGCTCAATTAGCTGCTTTAAATATTTGTGGTGTTCTCTGAGACAACCCACGCAATTCTTTCGCTTGACAAGGACACTAGTTAAGATGTTCCTCTGCTCTTTCGTGCACTGACATCACAAGGGATAGCGCAGTTCATGGGAAAAGTGTGTGTGAAGGAGCCATGGATGTCTTTTCTAAATTACTCTACCAGATGGTAGCTGAAACTATTTTCCAACAGAGGGGAGAAACTGCATTTCTTAGTAAGAATGGGAATAACAAAAATCCTAAATGTCTTTGATAGATAATAAAATATGTTAGTAAGATAACTTACAAATGTAGAACTAATAGTAACTTACATTTAGAATTCCAGCCTCTTTTATGGTTATGATATAATGAGATAATGTGTGCTAATTGGTTTGCACTCAATATGTTGTGTTCAATAAATGCTAGCTTCTGTTTAGTGTTGTGATAGTATTTTATTTTCAGTCATAGATTTATTAGTAGTAGTAAAAATTGTGGTGGTATTATACAGCAGCCTCATTTACAATCTAAGTTGCATCAGATATTTCTTGATTTCTAGATAATGTATTTGAACTGCAATTTAATGCAGTTGGAAGGATTTGGTTATGAATGCCTAATGTCTCTTTTTAAAAAATTAATTAATCATTGCTAATTTTTAATTTAAAATACTTTAATTATCTCTCTATGGTTTCCTAGCATTCCAAGTATTACTTTCTAAATGTGTTGGGATTTTCATGGACTCTTACATTCAGGAGCCAAATAACTATAGAGGCCGAATTGCTAACGATTGCTCTTGAGACTTCTGATAGCCCTGTTGTCCATCAGCAGCAGTCTTCCTGGGATGCCTTCTATTACTCTTTTTTTTTTTTACCTGAAGCATTCCTAATACCAGAGGGAGAAAAACTGCACAGTCCCAGGAGATTGCTAGTACAATGTAACATCGGCAGTAGCTAGACATTTCTTCCAGGTTGAACTTTCAGTGATGAAATTGTACATTCATTTTACATTTGAGGCCATGACAATCCCAGACTTATTTTAGTACCCAAAAGGTGTTTCAATAAATATACCACCAAGTAAAATGAATTCTCCTGGGTTTCTCTCCTTTCCTCTCCTCCTCTCCTAAGACCTCTGAGAATTTTTGAGCCTTTTTTTTTTTAGAAATGCCCTGTTATAATACTCAAATGCAAGCTACGTACCGATACCTGTAAATGGCTTAGCTGATCCGAATACCTAATACATCTTGTGGAAAGTGAGACACAGGACAGCGATGTTTTCAGGGAGGAGATGTGGTGTAAGCTGGCTGGTTAGGAGGGATTTGAGGAGTGTAACAGAGTAGAGAGATGCTACTGGTCAGGAGAAAAATCACTGCACAAAACATGGGAAAAAGTCAGCACTATAAAAAGGAATGCCAGGATGGGGGTGTTAACAGAAAACTTCACCCTCTCTACAGTTTTCCCTAGGATGAATCTTTTCTTGTCCTGAGGAACCAAGGAATTGATTCCTTGAATCACAAAATAGAAAGATGACCTCTATTTTTTTCTCCCATCTAAAAAAATAGAAAACAAAAATTTTACATAAATGTTTCAATGTAAACTCTTTATAACTTAGTCTTTTATTTTGTTGTTCTTCCATTAATTCACAGTGTAATTTCTATTTTTTCCTGCCTGTACCGTTCAGACAGGACGTGTTGTCTCCTGGGCATCAGGAGATGATGTAGTTGTGTTCTGTGCACTGGCACACACTGTTCTCCAACTGGCCATTGTTTCCGAGAGAGACTGACTTCTGTTGAGCAGAACTGGCACTGTGTGGCATTCAGGCCTGGATGCCACCTCGAAAACGGAGGAGATGACATTCTGACTGACTAATTAGATACGTTTTATAACCTGCTGCAGGACAAGGATGTGAGAGCATTCTGCATTAACTGGCAGTTTCAAGCTTGACGTTTTTTTGCATGCTTCGCTGTTCTCTTGCAATGAAGGAAGATGCCAATTTTGTTTTTGTTAAAACTTTAAAAATTCTTGATGAAAATTTCAAAACTAAAAGAAAAGGGAGTTCTGAAGAGTAATACTCTCAAAATGAGTGTGGGTATTATCTCTTTATTAATACAGTTTGGATTTTAAAGAAATCTTTTCGTTTGTAAAAATAGTAGCAGTATACATCTTTCTAAATAGACTCTTGCAGATGCATTTTAAACAAATCAGTAAAACTTATATTAAAATATGCACAGTACCAAGGTATTTTTTTTTATAGTAGAAGGCTATTTTAAATGCTTTTCATATCACCTTACAGCATAGTTTACTTGTGGTTATTTAAATCACAAATAGCTTTTCAACATATTTTCCGGAATCTTTAGAGCTGTGAGGAAGGCAGGAGGATATTTTTATTTTTACGAAAGAGAAGGTGGCCTTGGAAGAAACTGTTGGAGCTGAAAGCAAAGCTGAGACACTGACTTCTGTTCCTGCCAGCGTGTTCTTGGTGTACCTCACCGTCCCGACCCTCGGACTTCATCTCTAAGTTCTGTCAGATTGTGCTACGCGGGCAATGATTTTCTTTGCATCTGTTTGTCTCCGTGGGTAGCAATGACTAGGAGGCTGAAATGTGCTTTGTAGAGGGTGCATGGCTTGCCTAGAAGAGATGCCTCATCGTGTTGTGGTTAACACTACAGACTGGAGCCAACTGCTGGACTTGACTTAAACCCCAGCTCTACCTGTTTTTTTTTTTTTTTTTTTTTTTTTCTTTATTGATCTTAGAGACAGAGGAAGGGAGAGGGAGAGAGAGGTAGAAACATCAATGAGAGAGAACATCGACTGGCCGCCTCCTGCATGTCCCCCACTGAGGATCGGACCCACCACCCGGGCATGTGCCCTGACCGGGAATCGAACTGGCAACCTCTTGGTGCATGGGTCGATGCTCAACCACTGAGCCACACCCGCCGGGCCCAGCTCTACCTCTTACCAGCTGCGTGACTGTGGGCTCTGGGCCCAGTTGTTATTATTTCTTTTCATTCATAAACTGAGAATAAGAAAAGTGCCACTCTCTCTCACAGGGCTGTTGTGACAAGTGAATGAGTGACATGTATGTAAAGCACAGAGGAGAGAGTGCCTGCCCCGAGGAACTTCACGTGTTGTGTTATTATTACTTAGGAATTGCATTTTTCATGCGGATGTGACTTTGTTTTCCAGTGGCCGAGGGGGGCTCACTGTGTCTGCACCCCAGATCCTGTGGTGCAGTGAATGCTTCCCGAGGGTAACCTGTCCGACAGTGCGCGCTCTCCAGTCTTGGTTCTTAGTCTCATTGCTAACCCTGGGTGTGGAATAGTCGCGGTCCCTGACGCAGCAGACCTAGCCTCCAGTCCCAGCTCAGGCGTTTGCCCGCTGTGACCCGGGGCGTCTGCAGCCTGGGTGAGCTCCGCTTCTCTCCTGAGAAGGCTAGCTAGTGACAGCTTCCCCACCACCTAAGATCCCATTCCGTGCCTCAGGTACTTGGCTGTTACTTTAACAAAAAATATTAGGCAAAGCCCTGCTTATTCATCCTATTTAGGCAAAGGCTATTATTAGAAGAGTTTAACTATTATTATATAAGATAGAATTGACAAGTGCTTGCATAGATTTTAAAGAATGATACATTCTGAGGCATTTTTTAAAATACAAGTTTCCTCATGCATCCTACGGAAAAAGCATTCCTAAATTAAAGCAATACAACAGTGCATCATGGAGCGCCGCGCGTGAAGTGGGTGACGTGCCTTTTCCCCGGCTCTCTGCTCGAGGAGGAGGTCCCCAGCAGGCTGTGTGACCTCCGCCTGCTCCCACGCTGTCCTCCACACTCGCGGGCACTGCCCTGAAAGGGAGAGGAAGGACAGAGAGGAGTTACTTTCTCTCTTGTCTATACTCTGGAAACACATTCCAGTTTTCCCACATTGAGTTCTTCAGGCCCCTGGGTCAGCACCAGTGTGTACACTTGATCATCGTAGCAGTGAAATAAAACACAAAATAAAAGTAATGGGCAAAGGTATTTTTCGACTGCTGGTGATTTCCTGTGGTCCTCATTTGCTTTTTGTTTTTATTGCCACACTGCGCCTCTGGAACCTCTCTTTCTCCATCATTCAGATGGGAACATTGCCCTCAGGATGATGGAGAAGACGGGGCAATGTGGACAACTAATAATTCATTAAAAGGAAGATCGCAAGGATAACCCAAAATATTAAAGCTCAGTTAACCAAGCATAAGAGCGTATGACTTACTTGACAGAGGTGTTTTGCTTTGTAAGCTCTTGTACACTGAGGGACTGATCTCATGTTCAGTTCCAGAAGACAGAGATCCTTGTTTTCTCCAAAGGCTAGGAATGCTGGGCCTAGGGGCTCCAGTTTCAGCGGCGTGCAGTCTCAGATCGTGGTAACGACAGGACTGATGTCCTCAGCTCATTCAGAGGAGGGTCCCCCTGAGGTCGGCCGCGATTGCAGGAATCTCAAGGGGCTGCCGGCAACCACGGAGCTGATCGGGAAGGCTCAGGGTGACATACTGGGCGGAGAGAGCAGAGATCCTCAACAATGCTAGACAGAACCTGGGGTGAACCCTGGAGACCTGAGTTCTTGGGTCTGTTCCCTCACAGAGCAGTGGTCACTCAGGATATGCCTGGCCCATGACGTTCTTCCTCTTTGCATGTCTCTACCTGTTTGTAGGGCCAAGGAGATCTGTTGAAGAATGCGAAGAACGAAGCTCTAGAAAACATGAAGCAGATCCAGCTGGCGTGCTTGTCTTGTGGCCTCAGTAAGGCCCCCAGCAGCGGCGCCGAGGCCAAGAGCAAGCGCAGCCTGGAAGCCATAGAGGAGAAGGAAAGTGGTGAGGACAGTGGGAAGCTGTGACCCCGAGCGTGCCGGCGTGCTCGCCCATCCTCTGTGTCAGCGTTTCTTTCTGCTCTTCTCTCCTTACGCTTTTTCAGATGCTCACAGAAAGATGCCATCTATGGGGTGTTGGACATAAAGATATTTTCACAATGTCAGTATATTAATGTAGTTAATTTATGTAAGTTAAAATGGTTAGTAGCAGTGTTTTAAATTCTGAGATGTGTACACACCCATGTATGGATGTGTGTGTGTGTGTGTGTGTGTGTGTGAGAGAGAGAGAGAGTGTCTCAGAAAAGAGTGAGGGCGAGAGCATGCATGAGAGAGAGAGAGAGAGAGAGAGAGAGAGAGAGGGGAAGAGAGGCAGAAAGACAGACAGAGACAGAGACAGAGAGAGGCTGAGATCCTGTTAAAATCTATTGTGTTGCATTATTCATTTAGTAAGTTATTAATGTATCATTTTAGGAAAAATTTGTTAATCTAAAATTCTAAAGAGCACTCACTAGGACCTGTTGCTGTGTTTAACTTTACTTCTCTGTCTTTGTCATTTAATTCAAAGATGTTAACATAGCTTAATATTGAAGGAAGCCAAATTTACCAATGCATTAATGTTTTGATAGATTAGCAAAATTCCCAACAATCACGGTAGAAATTAAAGTGAATGAAAGATAAACAAATGGTTAGAATTTCTGAAAAGATCAGAAAGGTCATTTCTTCAGTTAGTAAACTCTAAAATATTTATTAAATAAAGTCAATTTTTAGAAAGTTTTATGTAGTTGTTTACAAAACAGATATGATTTCAGTGGAAAAGCTGATCATTAGGGAATTTATACCCACCTATGTGGTACTCTGAAATATAGCAAGAGCTCTTTTGTAATTAGGATTTTGATGTGACAATAATATTTAGTTACAAAATGTCAAGGTTTAGATTTGTAGGAAGTTCTCATTCTTCCAAACTAGGAGCTGAGCATTCATTTTCTATAGCAGATATGGGCAGCTAGGGGTCTTGGCTTTGATAGCATTTAGTTTAGAGTACTAAATTTAAACTTAGTGACATTGGTCAAACAATATATCATCACGTTGAGCTGATATAAATTCTGTGGGTCAGATAACATTTTCCTGATGACTTAAGAACTAATTGATTACAAAATGTCTATAATATAACACATTCAGAAAAACACAAAAAAGAAGCAAATGACTAATTAGGGTACATTTATAATTATATCTAGATCATTTTTGCCCTAATATTTTCATAAAGTACTTGAGTGTAATATTGTTTCTTACCTCCAACAGAACTAAATGTTCTATGGTTATGAAAATATATTTATTTAAAACATTGCTTTTATTTTGAAAAGCTTCTGAATTGATTTGATTAACAAATATGCTAATTTGGGGGAACCTAGGGAAGATAATTGTTGAAATTTTGCAAATATAAACATCTTCTTTAGCTACCATGTTGTTACTTCTGACTTCTTAACACTATTATGTTCATGTTGCACATTACTGAAAGAGTAAAGCTATGAAACAACACTTTTATTGTTCCCTTTTATTGTGAATTAATTGAAAAAAGAATGATAATGAAAATGGGTTATTATATACAAAATATCTTAAAGGGTATGATATGTCCATGGACCAGATATGATGAAGTTTCTCTCTGAATTTAACCTGCACTTGGGCAGATACATGAGCTCATTTTGGTAGGTTTCCAAATGAAAGGTTTCCTTTCTGAAAAGATCAGAAAGGTCATTTCTACAATAGCCTGAATAAATTCCTTTCCTTTCCATTGTACTTATCCTGCATGGTAGAAGAAATAGTGGAGTGCACATATTTAAGCCCTTTGTGATGAAAAATAGGAGATATGGACAGAAAGAAAACCTACCTTCATCAGCCATCTGGTTGGTGTCCTCTGTGGACCTTCTTCCCACTTTCCTGAATTCTGCTGAGAAATTCGTGGCTTTATTGGTGATACAGACAGCAGGGAAGAGAAGAGAAAGGGTGGCCAACTCTCAACCAATGTGCATTTCTGTACTTGAGGGTCAACTCTAATCCTAGTCTGTTCCATTTGTGCTGGAGCTCTACTCACACTTAGGACCTACCCAGATATTCTTCAGAACATGATATGGATTCCACCTTGCCTGACGCTGCCTCTGGCTATGGGTTGTCAGCCAATCTCTGCTTCACTGCATTGGGCACTGTTTCTGAGCAACGAGTGAGGAATGGGGCAGAGAGTAGCTTTAGCTGCGGAGAGGGAAGAAGTTGCGATGGAGAAGATCCCTATTGCAATCTTGCCTCTGGATGAAACAGCAAGCATAAAACTTCTTGCATCATTGCATTCTACAAGGACCATCTCCTTTCCAGACTTGAACTGCAGTAGAAAAAGCCCCCTTCTACATGTAGCTGTTGGTGATGCTGGGAAGGTAATATGGTACATATTAATTCTGCTTTATTAATTTTTACATTGCCAAGGGGATTTGAGGCAGAGATGGAAGGTGTTATTACTGGCATTTTATAGGTGAGAAAGCCCAAGGCTACTGACATAATTAATAGAAAAACTGACTTTGAATTCTGGTTTCTCAGATTGTATGTGCAACAATATTTATTTACTAATTTTGATTTTTAATTTAGTTCTCAAAAATTTAAACTAAACCCTTAACTCTGTCCTTTATAATAGATGAAACAAACTTGATCACATTTTCTGGTAAGCAAATATTAATGATTAATATAAAAATGCAAAAATAAAGAAAGGTAAGAGAAATAAAAATCACTCACTATTATTAACATTTAGATTTATACCCTTCAGACTCTGTTTAGAGTTTATACATACTTGTAAATTATGCTTTCATTTTTAACAAAAATGAGATCATGTTATATAAACTGTTTTGTAACAGGCTTTTTACAATAATAAAACTAATACATCTTGGATATCTTTCTATTCTACACACACACACACACACACACACACACACACACATACACTGGAGTTTTCACAAATGATGTATTTTCTTTGTCCACTGACTCTTTTTAAAAAAACTCTTAAACAAGCCTGGCTGGTGTGGTTCACTGGTTGAGTGTTGACCCACACACCAAGAGGTCGCCGGTTCCATTCCCAGTCAGGGCACATGCCCGGGTTGTGGGCCTGATCCCCATTGGGGGTCATGCAGGAGGTGGCCAGTGGATGTTCTCTCTCATGGATGTTTCTTTCTCTCTCCCTCTCCTTTCCTCTCTCTAAAAAATCAATAAAGAATGAATATATATTAAAAAATTAAATTCTTAACAACTTTTAAAAATCATGAGATTTCACATAAAAATTCAATTTTCTACTTCTTTTAAATATAGATTAGAAAAATTAGATTAGAATATCTCTGAGTATTCTGAAAACACTAGGCACGCCCCCTCCCACCCCCCACACACTTTTTATTTGGCATCAGTTAATTGGAGATGCCCTCCACGAAGGGGCATGGAATACCTAGTTTGCCAAAGGGCCTCTTTACTCCTGTGTTATAGCCTGCCCCTCTGGATGTCTTCGGTCGTGATCCTGGATCCAAATCATTTTCTATAGTAATGACATGGTGTCTTATTATGTGGATCATCATAACATATTTAACCAATTCCTATTGTTAGACTTTTCTCTCCTAATTTCTTGCTAATGTAAGCATTGCTGTGACAAAAATCCATTCTTTTCATAGTTGTTCAACTTTTTCTTTAGGCTAAATTTTTATAAGTGGAATTATTGGGTCAAAGGATACTTTTTTTTCTCCCCAGGGATTTTGAGATACATGGCCACACAGTCTCCAGAAAAAGTCTCCATTTACATTCTCACCAGGAGTTTATGAGAGTATTCAAATCTTGGCTAATACTAAATTTAATTTTTCTTATTTATTTTTGCCAATCTACTAGGTTAAAAATCTTATTTCCCATTATATTTGTTCTCTATTGAGATTGAGCACATATTGTGTTTATTGACTATAAATAATCTCATATAGATTATATATTTTGTTTTTTGATCATTTTTGGGTGGGGTAGTAAATTTTTATGTTTTTATTATTTGTTTCGAGAGGCATTTCCTTAATGAGAATTTTAACCATGTGTTAGCTGCTAATGTCTTTTGTTATTTAGATCCCTATTTTATGATTTTTTTCTTTATGGTTAGTGCTAAGACTTCTTTGCCTACCTATGCGCATGAAGATAATTTCATTATCCGCTGTAGCTTTGTTGGTTTATTTTTCACACTGAATTTACAATTCCCTAGAATTGATTTTTGTGTGCAGTGTAAGGTAGAGGTCCATTTTCATTTTGTGCCCATGTGGGTAGTCAGCTGACCCAGCCCGTTTATTGTAAAGCCCGTCCTTTGTCCACGACTCTGTAGTGCCACCCTTGTCAGAAGTGAGACACCCATGTGTTTCTGGAATATGCTTGGCTCTTTTGGGTTGTTTCTGTTCTGGTCATATTACTGCACTGTCTTAATTACTACAGCTTTATAATGTTTGGTATCAGAGAATGTAGGTCTCCATAGTTTTCTTCTTCAACATTGTCTTGCTTATTTTTGGCTCTGCATTTCTCCAGAAACTTTATTATTCGAATCTAATCACCTGGTATATGTCTTCATTTACTTAGGTATTAAGTTATCTTAATACAATTTTATAGGTTTCTATGTAAAAGTCTTACTCCTCTTTCATTAGGTTTATTCTTGGGTATTTTATGTTTTTCATGCTGTTATAAATAGTAACATTTTAAAATTTAAATTTTCAAATTGATTATTCATGGTTTATAGAAAATATAATAGATTGTTTTACAACCTTATTATGTTTTGTGACAGGTCTTATAATCCTCATTTGTCTGTTGGGGAAACCAAGCATGTTTCTTTGTTGAGGGGGCCCTGGAAGTTATCCTTCCTGGTTCTCAATTTGGTGACTTTTAATTCCTCCACAGTTATTTTTAGCATCACCTTGTCAACAAGATAAAGGAAAGCAGAAGAGTAAGTCACCCAAACTGTGTGCACGTCATAGTTGCTTTAAACTTAAACCCAAGGAAGTTCCAAGGATACAACAGCAGGAATTTATTCCTTCAAGTTTTCATCATGGTGAACATGTTCCTAACATCCCGGTGGTATTAGGAATAAATGGTCTTCCAGGCTTTACATTCTTTCTCAGTTCTTTAAAATTTCCCAGGCCCTAATTGGAATATACATAGGAATATATTGGGATTGATGGATTTGTGTCAGCATTTGTCCATTTCCAAATATGCCATATAAATATTGCCC